TCTTCGCTTATTAACCGAGACATTTTCAACGGCTGCAAATTGCTCGCAATTACCCCCAATTGAAAGCGGGGGGAGAGCCTTAATTTAGCAGCCTCTGTCTAAAATTACTATAATTGCGCCTCCATTTCATAGGAACAGTGGAGTATCTTAAAAACAGCCGCGAGGTTTGTTTGTGCAGATGTTAAGGGGCTTGGGAGATTTAGACCCCTTCTCCCCACGTTTCTCCTGAACCGAACAACAAAACTACACATAAAATCTGGGTGTCCGCGTCGTTGGGTCCTGGTAACGCACTGGTTTTGCTGCTCTTTAGTTACGCAAGGGTGCGAATGCGCCGCGGTGTATTTTGCGGTGTATTTTGCTGCTCTTTAGTTACGCAAGGGTGCGAATGCGCCGCGGTGTATTTCCCTCTCCCTGCAGCCGATCGTGGGAGCGGGAGGAAGTCGTGTCTGGATTTTGCTGCTTCTTAAACAACAGGCGACCAAACAAACGTGTTTTCACGTCCTCGCCCCTCCTAATGCGAAAGAGAGAACGTGGCACAGAAACCGATTTTTCCGGGGCGAGGGGATAAGGATCAAAGTTTCTACAGAAGCAGACTCCGCTTTAAATAAACAAACAATATGTCTAATCTCTCGGCTTTCCCATTAAGCGAACGCGGGCAAGATCTCTTGAATCAAATCATAAAAACCCATCAACTTGTCCTAACAAAACCACTTAGCCACATGAAAAAAAAACCCAGCCCGAACCGAGAGGTTCCAATCGACTTGATATTTAATTTTACAACCTGCTCTGTTGTTTTAATGAACAGACTCGCGCTCGGATGTCCAATTAATCTCCGCTCAGGAGACATTCCGAGCCTAGATTGTATCTCCTCGTGTGCACAGCTCTGTCTTTACCAGCGGTTTTTTTTCCCCCCAAGAGTAAATGATGTTATCAAGCAAAGGCATTGACATGTGAGGAAAGGGGAATTTACTGTAAGTACACGAGGCTTGCTAATTGGAAACGCCACACAGGTGGGCTTGTCAAGGCGTTTGCTAAAGGACGCTGGGTTGGGATAGATAGATAGGTTTTTGGCTGTTAATAAAATATATCGATATGCTGGACCGCGTAGTGAGTTCAATCCTTGAGGGGGTCATTTAGGGATCTGGGGCAAAAATCTGTCTGGGGATTGGTCCTGCTTTGAGCAGGGGGTTGGACTAGATACCTCCTGAGGTCCCTTCCAACCCTGATATTCTGTGATTCTATATTTGCCCCTGTCTCTACAGGGTCTGGGGAATAGAGCATTGCTCTTGTCATTCAACACGCATTTCAGCCAGCCAGCCTTTCCCCCCGGGTGCAGGGCTGGCTTTGCAAAGCACCCCACTGAAGAGCGGCCCGGGACCCGAACACGGGCACCCGAAAAAGCCAGCTTCGAATATTACACCTGTGCGCGCCTTCATTGTAGCGGACGCTGCGCTGGGCGCGAGCTTAGAAAACTTATTGGGGTTTATTTTTGGGGGGTGTAAGAACCAGCGAAATCCTTCCCCCGCGCAGCTAATCCTTGATCTAACCGCTGAGCACCCCGACCAATTCATGCATCCCCTCTTCTATTTTTGCATGATCATTTGCAGTCAAATAGGAGGACAAACCAGACGCCGGAGGCTTCCAGGAGCCTTGTGCACCTTCCCCAGCACATGAACAAATACATCAGCGCCACGGGGGTCGTACCTGGGGGGAGGAGGGCCGCTTTTACTAGGGCAATGTTTCATCCCCCCCCCCCGAGGGTTTGGAGTGTCTTTCAGATTCTTCCCTCCCAGACCCCACAGACATTCCAGCGATAGCCTGTCTCCGCTACCCCCCCTGGAACCAATCCGGGCATTAAAATTGTCTAAACTACCGGGCATTGACAGAAGGTAGAATTCAGCGGACAATCAAATCCCTTCCTTTGATTTAAGAGGGGCTCTTCTAAGTAGACCTTGCCCTCAAAATGTAAGGGGAGGAGGAGAGGGCCAGGCATTTTGCAAACTTTAGAATCAATAAAATATGTCCATTAAAAACGTCAGTGACATCAACGTTAAAACCAGCTCACACCTGCTCTCTTTGCATCCCAAACGCCGCGCCGGGGAACAACAATGTGAACCTGTAAAAAGCAACAGAGGGTCCTGTGGCACCTTTAAGACTAACAGAAGTATGGGGAGCATACGCTTTCGTGGGTAAGAAGCGAGGTTCTTACCCACGAAAGCTTATGCTCCCAATACTTCTGTTAGTCTTAAAGGTGCCACAGGACCCTCTGTTGCTTTTTACAGATTCAGACTAACACGGCTACCCCTCTAATGTGAAACTGACCAGCAATGACTCTCGAGTCGCTTGAAATTGACTAGTATCAGAGGGGTAGCCCTGTTAGTCTGAATCTGTAAAAAGCAACAGAGGGTCCTGTGAAATTGACTAGTCTGTTCGCGCTGTGAGGAATGAAAATCTGTGTGGGTTGGTACAGCACCGAGCACCATGGGGCCCTGGTCCACGACCCGGGGTAATAATAATACACAATAGAACGGTTCTACAAGGGGCGGATTCTATTTGCACCCGTGCAGCGTGGTTTAAAAGCTACCAAATGGGTGTGGGTCGCATTTTACATCCGTTTTGAGCCGGTGTACATGTGCAGGAGGCCAGATTAAATGATCTCCTCTGGCCTTAAACTGTATCCGTGACCCCGCAAGGTGCAGAACCAAGGAGAATCGGGCCCCCGGCCTTTTACCGGGTTCTCCTTTTACCTAAGAAGTTCTCAGCAACACAGGTAAAGACATCCCCATGTCTAACCTGCGTTTTTGTTTCGCAGCTTGTCTCCAACGGTTGTAGAGCACGGGGTGCTGACAACAGTTCGGTGGTCTGGGCTGTTTTAAAGCAAGGAAGTTTTTCATGAGCATGTGAAACTAAAAAAGAGGGGTATCCAAAGCTCACCCTCCCCTGGCATCTGTCTGCGTCGTTAAGGCATTATTTTTACATCTATCTATCTATCTATCTATCTATCTATCTATCTATCTATCTATCTATCTATCTATCCCCATACACATCCCTCTATCTATCTATCCATCCCCATACACCCACTCTATTTATCTATCCCCATACACATCCCTCTATCTATCTATCCATCCCCATATACCCACTCTATTTATCTATCCCCATACACATCTATCTATCTATCTATCTATCTATCTATCTATCTATCTATCTATCTATCTATCTAAAGTACAAATAATGCCTTCAAGCTACATATAAAATCGATAGTGTCTTTGTGTGTGTCTATGAGCTGCTCGAGTCAAAGCTTCTCCTTCTTTAATATAAATACTTGGAGCCCTTGTTAATGTGACCTACTCGGTAATTGCAGAGGCCAAGCGGAATGAAGGAGAAATCTAAACCGAGCCGGGCGGATAAAGGTTCTTTTTATTCCCGGAGACTATAACAAAGAGGGGGGGTTCCTAATGACCAGGGCGAGATTTAATGGGCGCTAATTACACCCCAGCGATAATTTGGAGGTGTTTACAGCGACCCCTGAATGAGGAAGGGAGCAGAGACCTCGGTCAGCCTCCCCCTTAAAGGACAGCTGGCAAAATCGCGCCCTTCCCCCCACCTCCACCCCTGCTCACTTATTCTACTGGGAGATTCCCTCCAACGGGATGCGGGGGTCGCACCGACAGCTTCAGCCGCCACCACTCCCCTTTCCACGGCAGGACCCTCGGCGCGGAGATAACCCCCCTCCCCCGGCTCCTCTCCCAGCGGAAGGTCCGGGCCTGCGCTTCCCGCAGCTGCGCCAAGTGCCACCGCGGTAAATCCGGAGCCACTGCAGTGGGGTTACTCCGGATTTACACCTCAGAGCAAAATCTGGTCTCGCCTAATAGCGCGGCAGGATCCGGCTCCCGGAGTTCTTAAAAGCCGCTAGAGGTAGGTCTGATTAGTATTATTAATAAATGTAATTATGATTGTCCTATCTCTGAAATCATGTCAGATATTTCTTCCCCCGAGCCAGCCTTATGATTGAGCTAATGTTTGCGGGTGCCTAGCGGAAGGCGACGAGCCCTTCTGAAAATGGGGCCTTCAATATTTTGGACCCTGAAGCCGGAGTCTCCAGCCTCATGCCCACCAGTACAAAGTACTTAGGATCTGGTAGCATTTCACATCCACTCCGCAAGACTGGTCCTGACGGCACCAGATGCAGCGCGCTTTTGTTATGCTGACAACCCAGACGTTTTCTTGGTATTGGAAAGCCAGCAAGAGAGGATTTGGGGGGGGGGGTCGGTGGGGGTTGCTTTTTAAAGGGATCCACTTCTCTTAACAGGAGATTAATTTTTAAAACGTAATCCCCGCTCCTGTAACCTTGACACCAAAGGGAGTTTTTTGCCATTGACTAGTCTGGGAGCAAGATCAGGGCCTGGAATTGGTGTTGCCTGTTTGATGGGTAGAAGGAGCCTCGGCTACAGCTAGCGAGCGAAATAATAACAACACAAATCCTCCAACAGCCATTTTTCTAATGGCATAAAACGCAAATGCAATTTTCTTGCATTGTTTGCTTCGGAAGTTCGAACCCTGTCCCAGGTCACTCAAAAAGCTTTGACTCGGGCCCCCCAGGGAAATAAAACGCTAGATCTGCGCCCCCGGTTCTTCAGCATGGGCCTCCGTGCGCCCTAATTCCTCCTGCCTAAATTTGACAACCGGTAGTAAAGTTAAGCACCCGCGCAAACGTTCTCGGCACGTAGGGCCTTGTTCCAAGCGAGCAGAACAAACATCCAATCGTTTGTTCTTTGAAGCACATTCTCACCGTTAAGCCCCGCACACACAGGGTTGCCAATGTCTTTTGTAAATATTTTTTGTTAAAGAAAACATTTATACTCAACATTTTCCTACAGGGACAAGAGGAAAACCGATTTTTTCCCCTCTTAGACCAGAGTTGAAAAATGGCATTAGAAATGGCTATCATAAAATATGTTTTGGAGGGGGACACAAAAAAATCGGAGGAAAAGCATTTACTCTACAGTTTTACATCCTGTTTATAAAGAGAAACAACACCATAACAAAATGTTATTTATAAATAAATCTTTGCAGACCAGGAGGGGAGAAAATATGGCTTCACGTGGGGGGACAGGAGGGGATTAAAGATTACATGAATGTGGAGAATGTGTGTCAAATAGAATCACAAATTCTTCCAGGAAGAAATCACCACTGTTTGGTGTCTGAAACGGAATACGAACAAGTTCTCTTTCTGCCTTTCAATGAGAGAAGGGGGGGAAAATTAATGCTTTATAAAAGGCCTGGAGGGAAATTACATTCCTCAAACTCTTCTAAATCACTGTCTGTAAACATAATCCTGGTAATAAAGCACTTGAAAAATATTAACAGCAGGACACTCAAATGTGGAGCGAGCATTTGCTTTGCAGTATGGAAGAGTTTATATAGATATTTATATACACATATATATATTTTTCCAAATAGAAATCTGTCGATGTGTATAAAATGAGCTACCTACAGCACAAAAAAGGGAGGAGGGTAAAATTGGACAGTCGATAAAGTCTTTCTCCAAGAGAGGGAGAGAGTCTTTCTCCAAGAGAGGGGGAAGGGGGGTAGATTGTCAGATGATGTAAATTGTCCTAGTTCCATTGACTTGCCACCAATTAACGCCCATTGAGGACCATCTCCTCCGTCTTTCCATTTCTGAGGAGCAGAGGAGGAAAAAAAAGCCAGTCTCTGAACATGTCCCCAGACTCATGAACAATTTCTTTGTAGGTTTTCTTTCTTCCTGGCAGGGATAACATCATTTCCTTTGCTCTCCTCTGCTCTATGCAAATGTCAGAATCAACTCCTCACAGAGGTTCAATGTTGCCAGGAGAAGGCCTAGGAGAATTTTCCCATGTGGCCAGCGGAACTCCCGGAGACTTGATGGTTTCATAAATTCCTCGAGGAGCTGAGGGCTTGCGTTCCTTTTTCTGGGGGTGGGCGGGAAGGAGAGATCAAGGCAGCGCCCACTGTCACATCATATGTGGTCTCGGCATGGCGTCTTGCTGGTGTGGTTGATACCAAGGTCCAAAGCTGTTGATGTAGCTGTTGGGAGGGATCGGGGCTCCTTTGCCAGCCATGGAAACGTCCCAGAGAGGGGGTATGTTGGGTGAGCAGGGGGACAAGGATGCAGAGTTGTGGAGGTGCTCCCCTTCCTGAACGCTGGAGCCCTGCTTCATGATCTTCTTGTACTTGGAGCGTTTGTTCTGAAACCAGATCTTAACCTACGACAAGGAGAGGAAAGAGTCACCGAACTACAACGGTGTGGGTGTGTGGGGGGAACAGTGTAGGGTATTGTGGGGGAGGGGTGTTGCATACTCGATTAGCAGCTGGAATGGGAGGGGGGCTGGGGTGTGTGGATTCCCTGCCAATATCTCTCCGGCTTGTCTCTCCCCACCCCCCAAATACGAGAGAGAAATATACATACATTGCAAGGCCAAAAGAAATACCCCCCCCCAATCTGGTTTTACAAGCGAGCCCCAAAGCCCTGGATCGCCTGAGCTGGGTGGGGAGATGGATTAGCAGCCCATTTACCAACCTGCCTCTGCTTTCAGGCGTGCTGCTGAATGCACTGTGGGGCATGCCCCCCGCCCCCAGCCCCTTCGACCTCCCTCCAGCGCCCGGGCACCATTGTGTTCACGTGGAACGCGCCCAGGCCCCAAAGTTTCAACATTCTGATCGTCAGCTGGGCCCCGTGGGGGACTCTGGAGTGGGGGGAAGGGGGCGGGAACCGGGGGCAGACTCTGGTCTGAAAAGGAAAGGTCACCCCCGCTATCGATTTTTCATCGATTTCCGCTTCGAAACGGAGGGTACCTGCGCGCTCCAGGGAGTTCGCTCGTTTATTTTAAAGCGCAGGTTCCCAATAGCTAGAGAGAAATAAAGACTGGCGGGGGAGGGGGGGGCTGTATTAACTGATTGCCGTGCCCGGGCGGGGGCTAATTGCGAAGGGTAAGGATCGGGCCCCATGGCGCGCCCTGGTTGCGAGATTTCTGGCGTTCAAAGCAGGAGCTGGGCGTGGAGTCTGCCTCGGACGCTGCTCTCCGAACTCGGGTTCTTTCTCCGTGATTCGGAGCTTAGTGACCCACCGACCCACCTCGGGGTGCTCCCAAGCCCCCAGGCGGTCCACCAGCCATAAGACCCGCCCGATTTGGGGGAAGAAGCTAACGCACCCTTTGCCGGGGGGTGAGCTGGCCCGGAAGCCCACGGGGGGGAGTGCTGGCTTCGGAGTGAAATAGGAGCAGGATCGGGCCCATCGTCACGAACAGGTGACTCTACGCGACAGGCGCATATTAGGCGGTGTCTCTGCCTTCTGCTTTGACTGTGAGAGGAGTGCGCCTAGGGCAGACACAGGGGTGGGTAGCAGAGGGAGCTTGCTAAGGACGGGGGGGGGGCAGCCCCATTTCGTAACGCCGCTCAGCGCACAGATGACTGACTCCTTTTACACGGCGCGGCTTTGCAGGTCGCCACTTGCCTCCTTTTTTTTATTATTAGTATTATTAAATCTCGTTGCCTGTGGCTGTGGACTGATCCCTCGCGCCTGCCTGTCTGCATCTATCTCTTCAAAGCCAGTCACCCGTCTCTCTTTGCTCCCGCAAGGCGCTGCCCCACGTTCCCATCCATCTGTGCAGAACCATGGACCAACTGAGGATCGGGCCCAAAGCTGGGGACAAGACTTATCCAATCGTCCGATTGTCTCCCTCTAGCCCCTACTTGCTAATTTCTCCAGGGTTTCCGTCTAAACTATTTTTAAGCCAGGCGGCCAAGATTCTGCTCTCAAATTCCATCCCTGTCAATCCGGAGTCACTCCGCTGCAAAGGAGTGAGTCCGAATTCACGCCGCTGAGAGCCAGAATTCGGTCCAATCCAGTCTCTCTTCTTTGTTTTTGTTTACGTGTGCCGGGGACCATTGGGCTTCCCGAGCGAGGCAGGCTTCACGGTTGTCTGGTTTGTTTCTTCCAAACGTAAATGAATGTGAAACGAAACCAGCCGAGCTCTGGGTGTCCTTGGGGACAGAGCTGAGCAGACACTCCAAAGGGGGCTGTTTCTCCCTCGCAGGCAGTATCTTCCCCCGCCCACCCTGCAGAAGAGTTTGTCAACTTCAAATAGACAAACATCCCCAATGGATCATCCTCGCTGAGAAATAACAGAACAATTAAAGGAAATGCCTCTCAGCTCGGGAGCGATTCCTCAGGGCTTTGAAGACAGAGAAAAAGGGCGAATGGGAACCACATGCGGCAGAAGGGGGCCGGGGGGAAGGCTCCGGTCGTTAGGGACAAATCAACACACACACCAAAAGAGACCAGATCCAGCCCAGAGTTACCCCCGGGAAGCCAGAGGGAGAGCGGGGCAGGACTGAGCCCAGGCCATCCGGATATCGGTGGGCATGTGCCACAGGGTACAGCCCCACTGAGAAAGACAGGCAGATGCATTCCCATTCGTGTCGGGGCTGGAGGAAATACAGAGCCACCCCCGGGGCCCGAGTCCAGATAATGCCGACAGAAAAATATCCGTTCTCGCCAAGCACATTTTCATGGGTCAGGTTTAAACTTTTCTTCCTCCTTTCAGTAGCTGTAAAACACTAAAGACCAACAAGCGCCCGATTCTGCTGTACACGGCTGTCAATCCGGAATAAGGGGCGATTCTGACCGGTGTAACAGATTGGGCCTTGTTCTCTGATGTGTAACAAATAGACCCCAGGGCGCCCAGGGCTTTCCTCGAGCCAGATCCTGCTCTCAGTGACACCCCGACAACTGCAGAGTCGATACAGATTTACTCCTGTATAGAGCAGAATTTGGCCTCGCTAAAGCAGGTAGAGCGGTGTACCCCGGAATTATCTATTTACATAGATGTGTGATTGAGAGAAGGCAGGGCCGGATTCTGGTCTAAACAAGTATGAATCCGAATTCACTGTTGATTTCCAGGGATGGAACGGAGGCAGGATGTAGCCCAATGAAAGCGAACGAAAGGAACTGCGTGTGTTGTTATTTCTTATGCATTGGCGAGATGGAGCCAGATTCTGCTCTACACAGGGTTAAATCCGGATTCGCTCTGAATTTTCATGGCTGTAACTGAGAGCAAGACGTGGCTTAATGAAAGCAAACGCAACTCTGCGTACTATTTTGTGATACGTTAGAGAGACAGGACCGGCTCCTGCTTCCAGTCACACCCCTGCAAATTCAGAGTCGATCTGGATTCGCTCCGGTGTAGAGCAGAATCTGGCCCTGTGGCAAACTGTTGCCGGGGGCTCAGCGGGGTTTGGATTGGATCTCAGCCGACTCCCTCTGGCTCGCCCCAGCCTGTACCTGCGTCTGGGTCAGTCCCAGCTGCGCCGCCAGTTCCGCTCTTTCCGGGAGGGCGAGGTACTGGGTCTGCTGGAAGCGCTGGTTGAGCGCCTGGAGCTGCAGGCTGGAGTAGATGGTGCGGGGCTTGCGGATTTTCTTCCCTTTGCCGTTGAGGCGGATCTCCCCGTTCTCGATCACGGTGGTTTTCTCGTGTTCTGTAAAAAGAAAAAATCACAGGTGGCTGAAAAGCCTCCCTAAAGAGAGAGCGGCGGGGCCCCCTCGGGGCTGGGGGGAGGGGAGCGGGAATGGGGCTGGGGGAGGCTGGCGCAGAGAGGCGAGAAAGGGGGGATAAGGGGATCCCGGAAATCCAACCCCCCCCCGCCCCATCCACAGGGAAGAACGAAGGGAGGGAAGCACCCTGGGGAAGAACCACCCCCATATGGGACGGGACGCTGTTTACGTGCCAGAGGTTGATTCCCACACACTTCGTTGACGCCAAAAGACGCTCTGGGCCCAGGATCGGGTCCCTTAATCCCTCTTATAAACACTGCACAATGACCTTAAAACAATGAAAAGTGTGTGTGTGTGTGTGTGTGTGTGTATTTCCTAGCCCTGGGAAGAAGGAGCGGGGGAAGGGCAAAAAGGCAAAAATCTGTATCGACTTTGCAGTTGTCGGGGTGTCACAGGATCTGGCTCGAGGAAAGCCCTTAGGAGCCCTGTGGCCTATTTGTCACACATCAGAGAACAAGGCCAAATCTTTTAACCCGGGTCAGAATCGCCCCTTATCCCGGCTTGACAGCCGGGTGCAGCAGAATCCGGCCTAAAGGGAGCGGCGGGTCTTCTTGTTGGTCTCGATTGTTTTCCAGCCGCTGAGAGTTCAAGCTCGGGGAAGCATTGAGATGTCACCCTTATTGCATTAGACAAAGTCTTTCTCTTTGAATGGTCTTAACCGACCCCTTCCCCCTGGAGACCCTGGCTGGGGCGGGGTAGAGCCCGGCCGCAGGCTCCGAACAAGTTCAAAAGGAAGATCCGTCAGTCAAAGACTGCTCACCGGGGGGATGTAAAATACTGGTTAAATTCTCACAATAATTCGTATTTAAAAATCCAGATCGATCGGCCAGGGCAGGGAAACGGGAAAAAAACACCCCCCACCTCCCAATAGCTCTAACATAGATCCTTTAAATAGGGGTCATGTTATATCAAGTATTCTAGGGTAAATCTGAACCACTTGTTAGCCATATATCCTATTCATAACCCTATTTTTTCCTTGCAACGGAGCAGACCCTCCTCCGCGTGACATTCCGTTAATTAGCAGTAATGATGCGGAGACATTTCTTAGCTCTGCAGAGAGTAGAAGCACCTCCCGCTATCATAGTGTGTGGATTGTGATTTCTCCTATTAAGGCAGTATCCGTTCTGCACAGACGAGAGAGGTCACTCTGTACTTTTCATTTTCCGAGGTCTTTATTTTTTTCTCCCCCCGATTCCCCTTTGAGCAGGTGGGACTGGGGCGGAAAAATACCCCAAATCAATATCGCGCTTCAGCGGAGGTTTCTTTCCGGTTTAAAGTCTTCGAAAGTGAAGCCCCGATCCTGCAAAGATTTAAGCCCCTGCTTCACTATATGAACCGGGCAGATCCCCGTGATAACTCTCTAATGAGGTCAGACAATTCACATCAGCTAAAGACCCGTCCCAGGAGTGGTCCCCATGGATAGTTGTTGCTTCCTTTTGTTAATTCGGCTTCACTTCTGGGGTTGGGCAGTTTATACTTTATCATCGCCCCTGCCAACGTCACGTCGGTCTTTTAACTGCGCGGTATTGTTAGATTATATAACTTGCAAAATGTAAAGGCGGCCTTTATACACGCAAAATTCAAGGCACTGGGAAGTTTGAATAGAAAGAATTCAGGGCAGGGCAGTTTGCTCGGTTAAATTTATGAGGGGAACATCAAAGCAGGGTATAACTTTGTTATAAAATAATGAACTAGTTATTCACTTCTCATTCTCCGGTCAGCTTCCAAACGCTGCTACATACTGGAATTAATTTTGCTGACAATTTTTTTTTTCAATCGACGAGATCTTTATGAGATCTGTACATGCAAATAGAAAGTGAGGAGGCGCATTGGGTCAATAGAAGAGTAAAGTATAATTAAAAAAAAACCCCTTAAGGAATAATTTAATTTCAAAACAAAAGAGCTTGCCGTAAAATCCAACATAAAATCTCAACGCTAATTAGCAAATTCCTTTTAGCCCATTCCACAATTCCTGTTAGCCCATTTTCCCTTTATCCAGTGGTTTTGTTAACGTCCTGCAGAATTTTAAAGCCGATTTGTCAATGAGTTGCTTTAAAATCGTGCTATCGTGAAAGTGCCAGATTCTGGGTCTAAATGATATTGATCTAAACCCAGAGTAATTCAGGTGGCGTCACCCAGGCTGCAATGGAGTGAATCCGGATTTGCACTAGAATAATTTAGATCAGAAGAGATTTAGCCAATCGATTTGTGTTCTGACTCTCTTTGGACCAATGGATCTGAATTTAAAGTTCAGTTTCTTGTTTCCCCACGATATGAAGCCTAACCTTTTAAAATAGAGTCAATATTTTTAATAGGTGTCAGTTTAATAATTCCTCGTTAAATACATCAACTGGGCGGGTGTCTATCTACACACACACGTTCCTAACATATTAACGACCCGTGACCCGTTGTGAGTATCGAACTAGTGTTCTGGGAAACCAGCAGAACACTTAAAAGGAACTCAGATAGAAACCCGTGAGCTGCCGAGGAAATTTGAATCCAAGTAGACGCCGAATTTGAATAGCATGGAGCCTGGGATTTCCCTTGTTAGGTGCATTTGAAGAAGTGGGGTTTTTTTTTAGTTATGCCCAAATCTGTTAGTCTTTAAGGTGCCACCAGACTGCTCCTTGTTTTTGTGGACACAGACTAACAGGGCTGCCCCTCTGATACTTAACATAACCCTGGCAAATCGAGGTTCCCTCCTTTGCAGAGAGAATCATGAAATATCTCAGCAGCCCACAAGCCACCAACCCCGGGTCACAGTTAGAAAGCGGACGGGAAAAGTTTTTGTGATTCAAAGTTAGCGTCTTATCCGCCTCCCCGAAATTTATGGGTATTTGATCCATCTAAATTTGCTTCTGTTGTCCACTGCAAACCCACGCCTCGGTCCTTCCTTGGTTTCTGGGAGCTTTCGCAGAAGGTAGAAAGGGTCAGAGTCACTTTAGTTATAGATCTGAACGCTCCAAGAGGCAGATCTTTAATTTTAATCCACCTCGGGACAACACGACGAGGACTACTACTAATTAACAGTTCATAATTAAAAACCTCCGTGGTTCTGTTCCACAGGGAGATTCTCCTCTGCTGTTCTGGTTGTGAGTAGTGAGTAACAGCGAAAAGCTCAATTCTGAATGTATTGTTCACACATTACACATTGGCCCAAACTCTGCGCTCAGTGAAATTGGTGTAAATCCGGAGTCACGCCAGTAAGGGGGAGCAGAATTTGGCCTCCTCTGTCTCTACGAGCTGCAGACTCTTAGGTATTCTGCTGTGAAGGAACATTTTGCAGTTGAACCTGAATGAATGCAGGGGCCGGCCTGGGACTGGCGCAGTTTTAACGGTGATATGCACCCTTTTGCAAAGCACGCGAAAGCCCGTTCATTTGAGAATGTTTTTTTCTGGTTGTGGTGGTTTTTTTCTGGTGCACGGATCATTTTAATGGCTAACTTTTTGTTACAGGGGTTCTGAAAAGGGTAGGAAAACTCGTTAAAGCAACTCTCCACATTTTTCCTTTACAAAACAATCCGTTCCGATAGTCGCTCCCAAATCTTTTGTTTTATTTTTACAAGTAGGACTTTTTTTAAAAAATTAGGAATATACCGTTGCCAGCTCTTTGCTCTATGTGACATCGCTATTAAGTCCTTTGCTTCTAGCCTTTTACCCGTGATTAAATATTTTGGCATTCACCCTCGTGTAATAAATGCGTAATTAGTTTTTTAAACGACTTCCCCGAAGTTCCCAGAACTTCGCTGCTAGCATGAAATAGCTCCCAACCAGGCTGTTTAAACATATTAGGTTTTAAAACCGATGTGACCAAAGAACAATGGACTGCTTAAGTGGATTCTTTATGGCAAGTTTCCTGATGTGGTTGATCTGCCATTAACACGGTGTGTATCTCCCCTGGAATCTTGACAGGTGCCAATTAAAGGATATTGGAATTAAATAATATAAATACATGAAATGGAAAATGATTGGTTGCGCATGCCTTTTCCAAACACCCAGCGAGAGCTGTATTAAAATTAAACATTGCTACATTTATTTTATGGCTGATGCAGGCCTCGCCTCTGCAAGCAGGCGATGAAAGATATTAACAAGGTGGCATGCCGTCTAATTGTTACAATATAAACAATGGCATTCTTCTTCTTACTGTACGTCAGCCTCCAATTCTGGGCCATTGTAGATGAATCTGACAGATACACCAGGGTAAATGACAGGTTATTCTGGGTGTGTATGAAGTTCTGGAGTGAAATCCCGGCCCCATTAAAGTCAATGACATCCATTGACTTCAATGGGGCCAGAATTTTACCCCTGGAGCGTAGAAAAACGGAGATGACTTCTTCCTTGCTAAAAGTGAGGGATATTATTTTAAAAAAAAAATCACTTCCATGGCAGATCTAGAATAAAATGCAGAATGAAATACGCGATGTTTTCTGTTAAAGTTGCATATGTTTCCAATCTAACAGCTAAGAGAGTTTTTCGGATATTTTAGCCAGCGCTTATTTTTTTAAGAAAATGTTAGCATGTCCCAAAGTAAACAAACAAAAAAATACACAATCCTCGTCAACCCAGAATCTCAGGAGATATGCCAGGCCCTTGCAATCCAAGCAGAGTTCCTTTGCTCCACACACACACATTTTTAAGTGCAGTCGGTGGGGGGAAAAAATCATACAGTTGTCCTAAAAATTCTTGTTTGCATTGCAAATGTACCAAGTTAAAAAATCATAATGTTTTTCATAAATGAAGAAACAAAACAAGACCGTTTCCTATTAAAGGATTTCCACTGAGTTTGTAATTCTTTTGTTTGTGTCTTTGGTGGGGCGGGGGGGGGGGAGGGAGAGGCAGCATCTCGGTTTTGTCAAAATTATTATTTTGTTCCCTTAAAAATGTTCCCTTAAGGGTGAGGGCGGGGGGGAGGCTTTAAAAATCGCAAAAGGAAGCTATCGCAGGTCTGGAGCAAACCCCTAGTTAAAGAGCGAACTAATCTAGGTGCTCCGATACAAGCCAAGAGGGAGGTCAGAAGTCTCCTGCGCCACGAGAAGGCTACTTTCAACTCCAAACTCTGAGCAGAGATTCGCCTCTCGGTCTGATGCTTGGGTCGGAGGCATTGCCAGATACTTTTGGGTTGTTTGTAGTTGTGGGGAAAGAACTCTTCCTGCAAAGGGCTGGATTATAGACGGAGCCAGAGAGAATCGGGGCCCGGGCCTGGGGGCGGACAGCGGGACTAGGGGGCACGCAGAGGTGGCTAGTGGATAGGCGCTGGAGGCTAGCAGGATCCTCCCCCCCCCCCCCCGGGACTGGGCTGGAATAGAGAATGCCTAACATACAGGCACAGAGTAGACAGACACCCCCTTACCTGTCTCCTCTAGTCTGCCCCGGTGCCCCAGGGCGCTGGCCGGCTGCTGGGCGCCGTGTTGCTGGTAGGACAGGTACGGGTTGCCGTGGAGATGGTGCGGGTGGTGGGTGCCGCCAGCCGAGCCGGGGTACGGGTAAGCCACGGACCGTCCGTAGGGTGCAAAGGGGCCCCCGTCGTGGCCGGAGCCGTGCAAGCCGTGGAGGGGGTAGTGGCCATGAGCCAGGCTGGGGGAAGGCGGCGGCGGCTGGGGCGAGGGTGGGTGGTTGTGCCCGAACTCCAGGAAAGCGGATTTGGAGGGGTCCGGCCCCAGCAGGCTCTCGGCCAGGGAGCTCATAGTCATCATGGAGCGCAGAGCCCAGGCCCGGGCGTGCCACCCGACCGGCACGGGGCTAGCAACCGGACGGGCGGCGGCGGCTGCTGCTGCGAGCCATGGCTGGGGCAGGGCAGAGCCCCGCTGCTGGTGCCGGTGCCGGTGCGCTTTGCCCCTCTCCTGCCCCGGCCCAGGCTGCAGGGAACCGCTCCACGCAGACCCCCCGCCCCCCCAGCCACATCCAGGCTCCGCAGCCCAACCTCCTGCCTGGAGCTCGCACCGGGGGTTCCCCCTGCCCCCTCCGTGCCCCGCCCCGGGCCTCCCCGATTGGCCCAGGCGGCCAGCGACGTCACGGAGCCCTGAGGGCAGCCCCTCATCACGGTAATTAACAAGCAGGCCGGCTAATGGCAGCTGCCTTCCTGCAAGCCAGGCCATGGGACGGGGGAGGGGAGACACTGGAGCAACAGGTTTGGGGGGAGTTTAGCATAAATGTTTGTCAACAGGAGAAATAAAAAAGATCCCCGTGGGGCAGAGAGAGCCCGGCAGGGTGAATAAATCATGATCACCAGTAGGAGAGCGCGTCAGGGGCAGGTCTCAGGGGATCCGTGCACCCGTGGGGCACCCCCCCTGCGCTCACGCTGGCTTTCCACCCGTGTCCCCCCCCCCACACACGGATTTACTCCGGCAGACGCAGCCCCTTGAGGTCACTGGCGGAGCAAGAATTGGGTTGAAAAGGTGTGTAGCTAAGATCTTTTAACAAGAGTTGTTAAAAGTCCAAATATTTTACTATCCTCCCCCCCAATTTCATTGAAATTTGAAAACAAATCAGCAAATCAAAAAGGGAGCGGGGGCGGGGGGGGAATAGGACATCCGTCCCCCAGCACCGCCTCCACCCCAAAGAGGCAGAGGCAGAAGGGGACTGGGGCCCTAGATTCCTGGCATGGATCAGTTCATCAGAACTGTCCAACAAACTTTTTCTAGAAAAAAGGACTGGAGCTGAGAGGCGATTTGAAAGCGGATTTTCCTGGAAGAGTTAAAGAGTCTTCCACTGACAGAAGGGGTGTGAATTCCACCGACCAGTTTAAGGACCTTTGACACAGCCAGAGAGGTGTAAAGGGTTAGTCAGTCTATCCTCAATTCTCAATTACTGAGGGACAATCTACACTCATTGCTGTGTTCGTTTTCCACAAGCTACTCTCGGGTATAACCTTCTAGGAGCGATGTACCCCAACAGCTGGGTGCTAATATCTCTGTCCTTCAATTTATTAACCCCAATCTGGCATAGTGCCCGTGATGTACTACACTACATGTGTTTTATGACTTTTAAACTTTGTACTTTGGGGTAATTTAAGCATTACACCTAGATGTACAGACACTCCTTCCTTAACCTGTGCATTAGATCATTTTAACATTAGCTTTAATAAAACATTTTAAATCTGTTCTGACTTATAGCACCGAGGAGTCCCAATCATGGGGCAGGATCCATGGTGCTCGGAGCTGTACAAACATAGAGCGGTCTCACAGAGCTCACTCTCTAAGTACAAAGAGAAGAGATGAATACGGGGCACAAGGAAAGGAGGGGACACTGCTGGTTAGCGATCATCGGCGAACACCCGCTCCGAGAATCAGGCGTCACTCCGGCTAGAAACCACCCAGCAGGTGTGACTGCCCAGGCGCCCACAGCAATGAGGAACCGGGCCCTGTCTCTGCCGGCGCTCAGGCCGGCTGAAAGGGTGTTTGCTGACATCTGCAAAGTGGGACCCCGTTCCCACTCTCGTTAGAGCCAAAAAGCACCAGCGAAACTGGCAGAGATGCCGCCCCATCCGCCGCTGAAATGAACGTGGATTGCGAATCAGCTGTTTAATCCTGGAGCGTCCAAACTGGCTCTTGCAAAAGCCTTTTTTTTCTTTTCTTTCGGGCTTTCGTTTCTGGGAGAAGTTTCCTTCAAAAGAACGACCCCCCCGCAACCCTCCTCCCCTCACGTGCGGTGGTACAGGGGAGCTAGGATTCGTCTTTCTTTCTCCTGGTGACACTCCGCTTCGCAAGTAGGAACGGAGGTCGATGCAAACATGATCTCCCGCTCATAACATGTCCAGCTCCCCTGAAGTGGGGTTTAATGAGGGGATTTGTAGGGCAGACAAGACGTAGAGGGGGCTGCGCCTACCACGGTTACATGGCCCAGATAAACCCGCACCTTACAACTCCGGGCACTGCTGAAGCCGGTTTGAAGCACCGGCGTTTCAGGGAGATTCTGCATCCTGCTAACCCATCCATGGCAGCAAAGGGCGACTCCCTCATCACCCCCCGAGGAAGGCTTTGGGGCTGCTCAGTGGGTAGGATTCATGTGTAGATACTGAAAACACAGAGAGAGACTTTTCCCATGGCGGGGGATCGAACCATCCACTTTCAATGTAACAAAACCACGTTCCAGCAAATTGTCTCCAAAACCAATCCGAGAAAAGTGGAGCTTTTGCACCTTCGGGTACGAGGCCCTTGGGTGGGACTGAATAACGGTGTATTCGTGGCGTTATTAATGACTGCACGACATCGCCCTTCTTGATAGCGCTAGCGACTCGGAGTCCAGGGTTAATTCGAATTAAAGCTGATAAATCCGAATTAAAGTCGTAGTGTAGACCAGGCCCAAGTCCCCAGGCTAGGCCCTATACGGAACATTAATTCCTACAGGCTGCCCTACCAGCATCCCCGCATTGCATGGAGGACGCATGATAAAGCATCCCAGGATGGGAGATGCGACTTGGGGCCCTTTGAACCCTTCCCCTTCCCCATCGGTAGCTGGGCGTTCATTATAATCCTCCAGGGGGTTCCTTACCCCCAGACCAAGCCCTGTGCAGGATTTTCCTTCTTGGGCAGGGCAGTCTCCTGGCAGGGAGGCTTCAGCCTTTAGGCTGAGGTGGAGGAAGGGGATGTGGCCCAGAGAGTTAGATCATTGAGTACAAATACTTCCTCTTTTGCAATCTATGGGGCGAGAGGGAAGCAAAAGCAGCACCCCTGGAGCCCTGCTAGGATCGGACCCTCATTTCGGGTGGCCGGTAGGGTTTACCTGTATCCTCCAAGTCAGACGAATCCCCCATAGGTCAGAGGTTGCAGGACTGGGTGCTGGGTCACCTGGACCGAACACGCCACGAGCCGGAACAGACACCCAAGAGCTGGACAGAGGTCTAGGTCAGCAGCACGCGTTCCTCCCTTTCTCTCTCTCCCGTGTCTAAACGGAGCGGATCCGAATTCACCCGAGCTGGTTTGCTTCCAAACTGCCTGTCTAAGAATTCTCCTGTGGCATTCAGTGCCCCTCAGCGGCTTTGTGGACTTTTGCCTAATTTAATTAATTGGGCTGCCCTGTGTTATTAGTGCTTGACTCCCTCCCCTCCCTTTCCCCCCCCCCCCCCGGTCTGTTTTGTTTGATCCCTTCCCGGAAGTGAAACGTCCGCGGTGTCTTAAATGCGGAGTTTAATGACATGAAGACACCTCTCCACAGGCTAATGACAATAAATTCAATCCTGAGGTGCCCGTCTTGCCACCAAGCATCGATGTGGATTTCTCTGCCCCCCCGCCCTATTAAGTCGGTGGAAAACCGCGCCCCTTGTTACCAGGAAACACAAGCACGTGCGGTTTGTGTGGTGACGGGACCCCCGTTTGCAAGGCACTTTGAGCCCTTCGCTTTTGGGGGCAGGGTTTTAAAATACAAGTTTTCATCCTTTCCAAATGTTCCTGCCCCCTCCTCCCCCCGGAGTTTGAAGCAGAGATTCCCTCCCCCCCCTGCACCTCTGAGGGGCAGAAACTGGGGGAGGTGCCGTAGGAAACGCACAGAAACGGCGCCGATCCATCACAAACACAGATCCCGCGCCCTGCAATCTCGGGCCGCTTCGATCGCCTCTAGAACGGGCCGTGTAGACGCACGCGCGCTGTTTATACACGAGACTTCTGCACATACACACAGGACCCACTCTAGTGACCCAGTCCTGTTGCCTACGCGCCGTCTAAACTAGGGCCTAAAAGATTCCCCCTGACTCTTTCCACCTTGGCTGATAGGACAAGACACCGGGCGCTAGCAGCATAAAACCCCATTCACCCACCAACCGGATTCTCCTCTGTCCTACCCCAGCTCTGGCACGCAGCGGAATTCGAACCCAAATGAAGAGGACGGAAGTACATTTTTTTCTGACAAGAGGAAGTGTATAAACTGGCGTTTGGTGTGTGTGTGTGTGTGTAAACCTGTATTCCCTGTTCCCCCCAAACTGTCCCCTCCGTGTGAGATCAGTGGTAGTCTATGACAGTTAGTTACACTTCCACTCAGTGCAGGAGGGACAAAGATTTAAGGCAGAGGGAGGTTCTTTTCAGGGTCCCCATTCAACTTCCATCAAAGTCACCAGGCTGGTTGTCCCCCCTTCCCCAGTGCTGGCCGGATCGGGCCCTGTGTAGTCTGTGAAGTGGGTTGATTTCATTTGCGGGCCTGTTGTCCCATCAGGTCAGCATCATTGTTTTCCTTTCAAGAGATGCACCCACCCCTCCTTTCACTGGGGAATAGATTTAGGGTGACCAGACAGCAAGTGTGAAAAATCGGGCCGGGGGTAGGGGATAATAGGCGACTATATAAGACAAAGCCCCAAATATCAGGACTGTCCCTATAAAATCAAGACATCTGGTCACCCTAAATAGATTCCACTTGGCAAAGTGAGAGAAGTATCAACAACCAAGCAAACCATCCAAGGAATAACAAAGCGTCTGGCCCGTCCCAGCAGCCCCAGATCTTTGGGGTCGGTTCTGTGTTCCTACAGCACCTCCTACAATGTCTGGGGTTTCTAGGTGGCCTGGTGATACAAATCATAATAAAAGCCCTTCTACAATTCCTCCCCCGCACTCACTTCCTCCTCATTTATGTTGTTGACCCCCCTTGTCTTTTACTCACCCAAACATAAAAAGCAGGCCCTCCGTGGTAAGAATGCCTGGAGGTTCTATTTTAATTTGATTTAGATCATTATTTCAGTAGTGGTTTAGAGTCACTTGTTATTAGTAGGGGAGGAGGAGGGGGGGGGAAAAACACTTTGCTAGGACAGGGCAAAAATTTCATTCTAGAGGGCATCTGAGGTACTGAAATCAATGCCATAACATTGGTGAAAGGAGAAGAGGATGGAGGTCATTTGAATATTTTTTTAATTTCCCAGAATTTTATTTTTCCTCTATAGATACATGGGCGACGGATGCCTGAAATGATGCATAACAAGGAACAAAACAGATGAGATT